ACAAACATGTTTTAATGACCCTAAACATACTAAATATTGTAGTGTTGCATTTTAGTAATTACAGAAACATGATTTAATCATTGGGTTAACTGTTAAAAGTAACATTCCAATCGATGTTGTTAGAGATCATTTGTCAAATGATGGAGGATTGTGTTAAGAGTATTATAAAAAAATATCAATTAATTCTTAAAAGGGTAAGTACACTAATTGACGCTAAGATCATGGTCAGACAACCGTTCAAAACAATACGCTAACTCCTTTGTGCTGCGGTCGGAGTTGGTGGTGGAGTAGCAAGCGTCTTTGGACGTGAAAGTATGGGGACGAAACAACCTTGCCTAGATGCAGCTGATGTAGGAGACAACGGGCTTCTCCACCCACATACAGGGATTGGATAAGGACCCCTCACAAATGGAATTTGCGGATAAGGAAGGTAGCCACCCTCGGATATATATAGGAACCATTAAATTGCTGAACACCACTACCAACGGAAGTAAAGTACCCAATTGACCCATCCATATCGACCATTTGTATACCTCCAGCAGAATGTGGGCTGTATTGATAATAAGGGTGGTGCTGAACCATATTGGAGGGAGTTGCCTACATACATATGGTGTCAAAAGTCAACTAATATATGGAATTGAACTAAGTCTGGAATAATAATTAAAACAAAGGCAAAGCAGATTACATGCATGGTTGATGAACTCGGAGTAGTAAAGGCTGCCTGTGACTCTTTATTCTTTTTTCCTTGTGTGGTCTTCGACGTTTTTGCGGTCTTTCTAGGTTTCTCAAGACACGACTTATATCTTGAATCAGTGGTGTGATGAGCAAGCCTTTTAGGAAGGGGAGGGTCTTTAGGTATTATCGGATCTTCACCATTTTGGGGGTCACAACTACCTTGTCTTTGCGTCGAAGGTGTACAATCATTTCCTTTTTCCCTGCAGACAGATGAAGGTGTTCCAACTAACCCCTTCTTGGTAGCCACTACGATCTTTTCATCTACTTCTAGATCTAGAAGCTGTAATGCTTGCAAGACCACTGTAGTTGATTTAGGGTAAGCCAATGCCTTGGAACACAGCGAACCAAACTTGACCATTATTTTGTCAAACCTACAAACCTCTGCTATTTTGTTAGGGTCATGGTAACAAACCATCACCCTTGTGTGCTTTCTTATGACATCTTTCCTCCACCTCCGTAAAATGTATTTATAAGGTATTTCATAGAAATTACTCTTCTCATACACCTTTATCATGTGGCGACAAATAATGCCAGTACAATCAAACATGCTATAGTCACACGAAACTTCTTTAGTTGAACTATCATACAAAAGCTTATACTCCCTCTTTCTGTTTGAAGTTTTCTCAGCTCCTTCCTATATTTTTTTGGCTCATACCACACTCGATCCTCTACAACTTGTTCAGTCACATTATCAGAAAGTTTGTTTCTACTTGTCTCACTCACATACATTACGCGACTGCACTCTCTTTGCATTTCCTTGAAATTGGCATTCGTGTATACCTTCTGGAAAACCAATTCAGCTGGAAAATCACTGTATGCTTGTCGAACATACCTCTCATTATTGTCATCAGCCCTTTTCTCACTAGTTGATCTAACCTCCAACGCATCGACATACCGCTCTACAAACTTAGATAACAATGTGTGCTTGCTCAAGTATCCATTAAAAAAACCTATGAATACTCTCAACACGCTGCGATGTTTTCATTCTAGCCCAAAACAAGTGCTTCAAATAGGCAACCACCCACATCTGACGCTCCTCATACAACCCTGCCAGTAGATTTTGCTAGTATTCATCAGCATGTATGTATGCCTAGTTAGCAAAACTCAAAACCACAAGGTCCTCCACATCCAATAGACACACCCACACCAGAACACACAAGGAAAAACACACACAAAGAAGTAAACAACACCAGTTCCCAGTCAACAGGGCACATACTAGCAAAAAGGTAATCAAATACTAAACACCCCAACAAGGGACATATAATAAACAACAATACCCATATAGGGAACATATATCAAACAACAATACCCACCCATACAACCAATTAAATACATAAACTCACAAACCTGTTAGCCATTCATCATCTTCTAATTCGTGCTTCTGGATGACCGCTTTCCAATTACTCTCAAACTCTTCACAATCTAAATTGTCATAAATTGCATTCTTGAGGTCATCATGAATAACTGGATAATCAGAGAGCTTGCCCAATTTCTTGACCAATTTCTGTTTAATGTGCCAAATGCACCATCAGTGAGTGCTTCCTTTCATGGTCAGCTTTAACGCTTTCCTCATTGTCGGGTCCTGATCTGTTAGAATCCCAATGGGTTGTTTTTCACCCATACACCGCAACAAGTTAGAGAAAACTCACTCAAATGTTTCCGAAGTCTCACATGATACCAGTGCACAACCAAACAAAATGGTTTGCCCGTGGTGATTAACCCCAACAAAATTACAAAAGGGTAACTAATATTCCTTTGTAAGGTATTGTAGGGAATAATTTCAAGAGTTAATCCCCTAACTTGAACCCCACTGTGATCATACACTAAAGTACTGTGGCGTCCAAAAAGGAAAAAGATAAAGCAAAAGAATCGCCAACAAGTTTTAGGAACTTCTAAACCGTTCACAGGGTGAAGGTTACACCCCTTAACGATCCAAGAGATCGTCAACTCCATAAGGTCTTGAACCAAATAAGGGTTTGGGGATGAAGGTACAAATCCAACCTAAAAGAGATTGAACCTGCCCTAATAATAGGCCTCTACTTTATTTTGATCGTATTCATGTGCGCTTTTTGACTAACATGCAATCAATAGGTTTAACCCTAAACCTGTTTATCTATGTTGGTTGAATTTAATGCACAAATAAATCTATTATTGGCGATCACTTGAATAATAATCATATTAACCTTAAACAAGATTATTAATTATCTTATTAAGCGTGATTACAAGTACCAAATTCCCTTTAAACATGCATAAAAGGCGTGATCAAGCAATAACAATATATAATCAAGCAACATAATAATAATCAAAATAATAATATTCATAATCATAAATCATAAAGAATAATCATAATAATGTTAAAGCATAATAATAGCAAGATCCTAGGCATGATACTAACAAGATTAATAACAAACCCTAGCATGTCACTAAGCAATAAAGATCAAATCTTTAACCCTAACATGATACTAACAATCATAAATATTAGGAAGAACATAGGAAGCATCATACTTTTAATCATACTTGATATTAAAGATACCCTAGACATGATACTAGGAATCATAATAACAATCTAAGCATGATTTCTACATAATAACATCAATAAAAACCATTAAAGCACATACTTGGATGCCTCGTACCTCTTTCTAATAACAAAATAAACACGTTAGTAACTTTAAGGAAAATAATAATCAACAATTAAATTAAATAATGGAAATAGAGATTTGGGATCGAACCCTCAGAAATTAAACCTTTCACGTCTAGGACGAAGGCAACTTCGAATATGGCTAGGTGTATCTAAATCTAATGAATGAGGAATTTTGTATTTGAGAAAAGCTATTTTAGAAAAAGAGAGAGAGTAATTAAGAGAATCTTGATGAGAGTTGGTGAATCGAAGAGAGAAAACTCGTCAAAACTGGTTTTTAGATGAAAACTGGTTATCGAAAACAGAGTTTTTAATACGTTATTTATAAAGAAAATTAGCCAAAAAGATAAAATATCAAAACAGATTCTGGCGCACATAAAACTGAACCAGCGCCAACGCTGGCTGTTGGCGTCAGGCGCCAACACTAGCGCCAGGCGCCAAGCGTAGCGTTAGGCGCTACAGCTGGCGTTTGGCGCTGATTTCAGAAATTCACGCGTTTTCTTAAAATCAGATTAAAATTGCCGTACAGGAGGATAAAATCATATTTCCCTAAAAAATGCTCTTTGATTTTAATTAAAACTCTGAAAAGTCAACAAAAGTCAATTTATCAATGCTAATTGAATTAGGAATGAAAAGAACCTTCTAGAAGAATCTAGAAGACTAAACCATTCCTAATTGCATTAGGAATGGTAAATCTATATTAGGCCCTCCCCTAGATCATTGGGACGCATATAAGGCTCAAAACGGGACCGGTTTTGTAAATGGGCTATAACTTCCTCAATATTCATCGGAATTGGGCTTATAATATATTGTTGGAAAGATATTTCCAAGCCCCATCCAACTACACTACTATTGGTCCCATATCATGGACCAACCAAAATGGATTGGCTGTTTTCTTAAAATAATTTTTCAAAAACAGAGAGAAGAGAAAGAAATTAAAACTATCGGCAACACTAAACTTTCCACACTTTCACTTCTTCGATTATGATTCGACGTGAAAGGTACTCATCACTGGGTTTGGTTTTGGGGAAACACAAATGGGTGTCTACATAAGCCCCCACTTTGACTGAGTTTGGAGAAACGCAAGTTTCGAAAACAAAAGTCAAAGTAGCGATAAAGACGGAGAATGATTCAGAACGTTCTGCGATTCTAAGTCATTCTTGTAACGCCGATACCTGCAAACTAGCGTTAGTTAAACAGATAAAAGATTTAAGAAACGTGTATCTGGCACCGTCAAGCACACGTCTCTGAAAGTAGCCGATTTGCTGTTGCATTACTGTTATTTTGATGACCTCCTGCCAAGAGAATATCATCCCGCTTGAAAACCGCTACGCTTGTAACTGCTTCCAATATAGAAGACTGCTTCGCTTGAAACGATCCTCTCCCGCTTTGATAATATTTCACGTCCAAGGAAATACTATCAAAGATTGTTTTGCTTGAAACAATCCTCTTCCGCATTGATAATATTCCACGTCCAAGGGAATACCATCGAAGATTGTTTCGCTTGAAACAATCCCCATCCACATTGATAATATTCCACGTCCAAGGAATACCACTACTACATTTTTAACCAAATGCAACGGCTAAATTTTTGTTAACGCCACGGCTACGTACATAACCGTTGCAATAGCTAGATCTATTGCGACGACTGCTTAATACCTTCTCAATAACAGGGTCTAATGCAACGGATAAGAGCTGGTCGTTGCAATAGGGCTTTTTTTTTTCTTTTTTTGCAATAGGGCTGTTTTATACAAAACTCTTTACCTGGGCGCACTAAAAAATCCCGCCTAATTTTTCTCAAAAATAAAAGTTTCACGCTTTTCTAAGAAAACCCGCCCTTCCTATAAAAAAAACAAAAGAAATCCGCCGAATTTCCTTTTTTTTCTTTTTCATGAATAATCAACAAGGCTACAAACCCGATCCACCCAGCTTTCTCAATCAAATGGCTTTTTATAAAAAAAAACCAAAACAGGTTCTTTTCTTCAAATTTTCAAGTGGCATCTTGAATTTAAGGAGTGAGATGTTAGAGGAATGATCTAGGAATGGACCCCGCAAGCCGCAACCACCGCCAGCTAGCCAGAGTCGGAACTAAATTGTCTGGTAGCCTTTCATTTCATTCTACTTATCGTTGCCGCAGATAATATGCTTGCTGAGGACGATCTATGTTTTTGAATTTTGACGAGCGATTTCTGTCTCCTTTGATCTGACGGTGCCTCTTATTACTTCCTGGTTTTCAGTTTTCCAAGTTGTAAGTTTCCGTCCAACATTTAAACCTTAGATTCAATTTCACCTCTTTGTTTTTGTTTTGCCCAAGTGTTTAAATTTGTTGCTGCAATTGTACCTTTCTCTTTGTTTTTAAATCAAAATTGAAAAAACCTAATAGGGTGGAGAGGAGAAATTTGTTGCTGCAATTGTACATTCTCTTTGCTGGAGAGGAGAAATAGGGAAGAAGAAATAAAAAAAAAAAAAAAAACTTCTTTCAGTTTTCTTTTAATTAAAAATGTTGCAGATCTTAAAATTTGTGTGCTATGATAAGATAACATAATATTTTCCAGTTTCCTAATCACGACCTCTTGTTCTTAATAATTATTCTCAAAATAATAAAGGTTTGAAATTGGTATTGCTGAACGCTTGTGTTTTTTATTCATTTGATTATTTTTTTCTAGATTATAGATATTGGTTGATAGTTAATTTACAATCTGGGTTGTGATTTTAAATTAATCATTAGACCAACAATTGATATGAGGAAAAGTGCTAGATTAGTGTTATTTAGACAAGTAGTTGATATTTCTGAAAAAAAAAGTAGTTGTTAGGTGGTGACTCTAAACCTGTTTTCCTTCTTCTGCCCGAATTTCAAATCATTTCAAAGTTGTATGAGTTTCTCTCAAGCCTCAGCATAACTGTCCTGATGCATACATAATCTAGGTGTAAATTGTCATGTATGGATATAAATGTATTATCATGTTTGAGTGTGAGCATTACCTAATTTCAATTTATTCAATGTTCTGAATCTCTGTCCTATAGTTATATTAGAAATTTGTTGTATTTTCCTTTTCTAAAATGTCTCTATTTCGTATGATAATTTTAATCTAACTATCAATGTTGCCATATTTCATAACTCATTATATGGCTATCTTGAAATAAAATCGTACTGCCGGATGAAACTGTTCTTAAATAATAAACAACCAGTTCTAGATTTTTAGAGATTAAGCAGTATTTGTGAGTTATGCATTTTTTTTTTTTTACTATTTTAGATAATCATTTATATTATTAAAAGGCACTGGTTATTAATCTTATGATTGAAATTAAACAATCAACCCCAATAACATATGAAGTATACAATAGTATCCAAAATACCTCAGCCATAATCCTTTATAGCTAACCCAGTTTAGATTTTCTTGTTCAATTCATTACCCAATTATATTATTCTACAATATTGACAAAATTTCTTACCAATAATTACACTAATATTTGAATGGCTCATACAAGGTTTCTCGATGTTTGTAAGTGCTTTGATGGTTGCCAGTTTGGCTCATTTTGATATTGCATAGTTAATATGTCAAGACATAACAATTATCCTCTTATGTTTCAAATATCTTTAGTTCCCTCATATACTATTATTCTTCTGCTCAGGGGATGACTTATGTATCATGGATTTGATATTATAGTTGCTTACGTAGGCGTCCCAATGAAGTCCTAGACCACACTTTGAAGCAAAAAGAGTGAGCTTTAATTCTCGTATGTTTATAGATTTATTGCAAAGTTGTTTATTTTTTTATTGCTATGTCTTATTTGTTGGCATGTTCTTTTCAAGGGGCATTATCTAGGGGCTCATCCGTGGAGTGAATGTCAGGAGGATCAGCTAATGTTGATTAATATGAACTCATTACTTGTCCTAATATTACTTCAAGTAAATTTATATTCCTTGCCTAGATTTAATCGTGCTGCCTTGATATTTTTTTGTTGCTTTCAATTACATTTCATCTATTTGATTCTGAATGTATGCGTCTTTCTGCATATGAACAAATGGTATTCAATCTCAGTTACCTCTTCTGGAGTTAATGGACTGTGGTATGTTTATTTATGATCCTGACATGGATGATGCTTCTATAGATGAAAGGAGTGATAAGTGTTCACAGAAAAGTAGCAAGCTAAGCTGCATCATATATATCCTGAAGCTTATTATCAAGCAGAAGAAACCTTACTTGTGGGGTTGTTCTGGCTTAGATGTGAGTACCTCTACTTTACATTGACTAATTTCTCTTACTTTTCACACCTAGATTCTTTTCTGATTTAGTGAATAATTAAAATTTCAGCCCTATACTTATTTGTCTATTTGTCTAGAGCTCAATGACCTGAATCTTACCTCTTGTACAAAATTTGCATCCAGGTTATTAATTTGAAATATTAGATTTACAATGGATAGTTTTAATAAAAGTTGTTAATGTTAACAATTTTAAGGTTCAGAGAGGTTATTTCTTTAGTGTCCCAATTTAGTAAGGGTTCATGTAGCTGATTGTGAAAGTTTGATGTTTGAGGTTGTTGAAATTCAGATATATATGAGTCCTCTCAGAAAATATTGATTGGTATACCTTCCTCTAACTACGTCTGTTGTTCCACTATTATTTCATCTTGTTGATAATACGGAAAGTTTTTTAAATTGGGTTTCTTTGAAATAATATCCATTTAAAACCTGCCTTAAGTTAAGCTAAATGGTTAGTGTTCTAGTAGCCTTAGTGAGACCATTTTCTGTAGCCTGACAATCTTAGGTATTTTTTAAGCTAGAGCTGCTTAACTTTGACATTGAACAAGCTCACACCTGACATACATGCCTATGATTGAGGTATTTTTCTTGTGAATTACAACTTTAATGGATGCTATATATAACTGTAAATTACAACAAATGATTTTCTGTTTTTGCTTTCTAGGATTAAAATGCTTGCAGATTAGCCGTTTTCAAAGTATAATAGTTTTCACGTTCATTTGTCCAAATAATTTTATTTATGTAAGCAGAGTTTTGTATTTTATTTTGTTCTTAACCTGATAATTAATTTCTGTTATGCTTGTATATGCCATTCTTGTCTTGTGAGTAATTTGCTAAACTCTGCAAAATCCTAAAACTAATGAAACAAATTTTGGAAATCTGAGTAGTATCAACAAAGGAGGAATAATGTGAGTAGTTTTTGCTATATATGTGTATCCGCTGTAATTTGGTTTGAGATATAATGTGATGATATTTGTGTATTTTGTTTATCAGGGGATTTAGAACCATTGGATATGGTGTAAACAGTGCTACAGGTGGAAGATGCTTCCAGAATTGCTTTACTTGAGAAATTTGAGAAGCAGGAGAAGAAATGATAATGTGGTTCAAAGAATTGCTGAAAATATTGTTTGGGGGACAAAATGATTTAATTTTAACTTTTAATTTTTTTTTCTTAATTAGTTTAACTAGTGATAATTTAATTTTGTAATTTTCTTTATAGATAACAATGTAATTTTAATTTATATTAATAAAATTCTAATTTTTTTTTTTATTGAAAATTTTGCTTATTATTATTATTTTTTTATTATCATTATTATTATTGGCATTAGGTATATTGATTGTGTGGCATTAGGTATTAGGAACCATGGCATTAGGGAATATGCAACGTGGCATTATGTATAGGAAACCGTGGCATTAGGTATAGGTTACCGTGGCATTAGGTATAGGAAACCGTGGCATTAGCTAATACCTAATGCCACGGCAATAATGTAACCGTTGTATCAGGTATTGATCTAACACAACGGATCATTGATGTCGTGGCATTAGGTGTCATATGTCGTTGCATTAGACCTATTACAACGCCAGCAGATGCCACGGTACATGACCGTTGCGTTAGGCCTAATGCCACGGATTTTGATGCCTAATGCAACGAATTTGGGGGTTGCAATAGGTCAAAAATGTAGTAGTGTACTATCGAAGAGTGCTTTGCTTGAAACAATCTTCTTCCGCTTTATGACCATCTTCCACGTCTAACGGAATACGGTCGAAGACAACTTCGCTTGAAATTATCTTCAGTTTTTTGTGACAACTCTCCACAAGCTAGGGAATGCCGTCGAAGATATCCTTGCTTGAAGCTATCCTCATTTGTTGCGATAATTACCCAAAGGAAGTTACCGAAGATTTTCGCTTGTCGATCTTTAAAAGCTCGCTTGAAATTTGCTTCCGTTATTCCTGTACATCGGCACTTTTGCTGTTTTGAACCATTATGTCCGTGCTTTTGCTGTGATGACAATCCTCTTTTATTTGGGAATAGTTGTCAATGCTTCGTAACAATCCATCCTTGGAAATGTTGCTACGATGAAGCGACAATCCGTATCTCGAAAAATTTGGCAAAATCCAATTTTTAGGAAAAGTTGCCAATACTTCGTAACAATCTGTCATAAGAATTTTGCTACGATCGACAATCCACATCTTGAAATATAACTCTTGAAAGCAATCCACCTTGGAAATTTGCCAATGTTATGTGACAATCCGCGTCTTGGAACATTTGCAAAAAAGAGTTGACCGACAATCCACTTCGGGAAAATTTGCCACTTACTGAAATGAATGATAATCCACGTTGAGGAACCTTTGCCGAAATTTATGATGAATAGAGACCTACAACAATCCTTTGGGAAATTTTTCCATAGGGAATTGGGTATATGACAATCCAATCTCGGAAAACTTGCCAATGAGTCGATGAATGTATGACAATCCGAACTTGGAAAAACTAGCCAAACAAAGAAGGAGCACGACAATCCACGCTTGACAATCCAATCTTGGAAAAATTGTCGTTTAAGAAGATGCACGACAATCCATTTTCGGAAATATTGTCAGTTGGGGATGACAATCCAATTTTTGGAAAAATTTTAGTTTAAGAAGAATGTGCGACAATCCACATTTGGAAATATTGTCGTTTAAATGCTTGCTTTTAAACCGATACATTGGTGCTTGTAATGAGCCAGTGTTTTAGGCGCTTAAGCTAAGTGAGACGATCTTTCGTCAGGTTGATCACTTAGACTGTAATCAAACCGACTACTTAATCATGTCAAATTTCTTATAGGGGCTAACTGGCGTACCAAGGAACCCAAAATAGCTGTATGAGGTCGAAATAGCCGTTCTGAGAGGCTTCGAGCTCTGTCGCCAAGAATTGACTCTGCCGCCAGACGCTGTGATCTAGCGCCAAGCGCTGAAATCTATTTCCAGATGTTTTCGTCCGGCGCTGGAATAGGGTTTTCCCTGTTCTGCTACACCTGTATTTATTTTTTACTATAGAACTTTGCCAATTTCTTTAATTATCTTAGGGTTGACCTAAGGTTTAACGTCTTTTGACTCATTGACTTGACACGACTTAAGGTATTAACTTGAATCTCTGTGATTGACTCGAGGTTGACTCAACTCGAAGTGAAATAACACGTGTGACTCATGACCCATGTGCATTGTATTATGATTGTGCGACTCGAAAATGCAAAAAAAAGCAAAAAATTTCCGTCATTTTTGTGGAGGGTACCAACTTTCTCTCGAAAAAGAAAGAAGCGAAGTTTTGAAGGTGCCTGTTGAATGAGCTTAGTCAAATGTTTTGCAATGGATTAATTCATCCTAGGTTATCTCAATTGTTTACTCCATGATGAAAGTATTTGGATATCTTAGGCACGGAGGCTAAGCACTTCATACTTTGTGATGCAATGATGATTATGATTGATATGACAAGGCATGCTTCAACATTGTGTTAAGATTTCATGACAAAGGGTTCCTAAGGGGAGTATATTTGGTCATGTATCTGTGATGTGTGTGAAAGTTACACTAAGGTTAGGCCGCAAGGGCTAAGTGTGTGGTAAAATATTATTGAAAAGAGTCAAATGGTGGTGACTCTTAGGCTAGGTAAGATAATGATATAGGGATCAAGCCCACCAAGTCAAGCTCTAAATGAATAAGGATGAGCATAGGAGATCCCTTTATATGATCAATTATGAATGTAAATATGAATGCATGTTTAATATGGCCGCACCTCGATGTGAGGTTTCCTACGTATCCGTTAGGAATCAGGTCGAACGTAGCTCTAGCCGAACCTTGCACAAGTATGTATACCTCAAAAAGGTCTTTTTAAGGGTTGTAACGTGGTTAGGCTAAAGTTTATAGAAGAAGGGATACATGCTCAAGACCCTAGATAAGCCCCCAAAGTGTGCAACTTTGCTTTTGAATATTTGTATTTTCATGCTTAAGGTTTTCTACTCTTTTTTAGCTCTTTCTTTTGCTTTAGCATTTATTTCATTTTTAAAAGTGTGGGAAATCCCGATCATGCGGTCTATCACTCACTTGGCATTCATGTTTCTCAGGCACGGTACCAAGCACTCGATAAGAAACGCAATCTGAGACGTGTTCTTATCAAAGACATGTTTATGTCAATGACATTGGAACACTTGCCCTTTTGCACACTTTTATTATTATTTTTTTGCTTTTGCTTATTATTTTTTATTTTGATCTTTTGAAATCACTCAAGCTTTTGAGATTGCATAAGTTACACATCATCCCATCCAAAGGTTAGGTAGATGTGGGTTGAAAAAAGAAAGGTCTATCGTTAGACGAGGCTCAAAGTGGTTTATGAAGAAAGGATGTATATTTGAAAGGTGAAAGGAGATATGATGTGGCTACAACGGGTGCCTCAAATCATTGGTATACCTTGTGCTTAATTCGACATGGATTGTTTTTTTTAATGCAACGTAATGAAATGATCATATGCAAGAAAATAAATGCTCATTTTATTAAAAGGGAAAATAAATAATGATCCTACAAAATAAATCTAAAGAGAAAAGAAAGGTTCTTATGCTAGACTTATTGGGGAAAGGAAAAAATGAAAAATAAATAGAAAAAGAGGTCATGAAATCTTGTCGTTAAAGCTCGCCTCTTGTCTTGTGTCATTTGCTTCATCATCACCCAGTCTTCTCGCTAGCTTGATCTTGTTTGCTTCTATTAGATCTTGAATGAGATTTTGAAACCTGTAGCATTCATCTGTGGTATGACCATTTCCTCGATGGTACTTGCAATAGGAGTTGGGATTCCATCTCGAAGATCGATTTTCTGGCGTTGAATTCTCGGTAGGGCCAACAGGTTTGATTAATCCTCGATCAAAGAGACGATCGAAAGCAGCATCGTAGGTCATTCCAATGGGAGTGAATTCTCTCCTGGGTTCCCTTTTAGATCCTTGATTGTCCAGGCTAAGACATTATTATGGTCAAAGGTACTAACATTATTACTAGAGTGGGCATTTTCGAAAGAAGAAGGATTTTCGTTCTTCTTTCCTTTCCAGCCACTGTGGTTACTATTGTTAGTAGCTTTTTGTTTTGCGAGGTCATCTTCGATTTCAATTCCGATGTCATAAACAGCCTTGAAAGTATTCAGATTGTGTTGATATTTTAAATGCTTCGAATACTTCTCTTGGAGATTCTTGACAAACGTCCTCACAGATTCTTTTTCAGTGGGCACCTCAAACATCTTAGCGGAAGTTTCTCTCCATTTATTAAAGAAAGAAGTAAAGCCTTCATTCTCTTTTTGTCTTAGCACCTCAAGTTGTCTATGATCGGTTTCAACTTGAATATTGCACTTGTACCTATCAATGAAAGCGTTTACTATCGATTACCAGGTAGAGGTTTTCTCTTTATCAAGGGAGAAGAATCATTGTTGGCAAACGGTTTCAAGAGATAGTGAGAACAGAGAGGGAAAAACTTTCTTATCGATACCCTTAATACTCATTATGGTTTCAAAAGCTCTTAGATGGAATTAAGGGTTATCTATTGCCTTGAATTTGACTCAACCTTTATTCAACATGCAATGGATGGAGGAACTGAAGAAAGACGGAATAAAACGTGAAGAAGAATGATATAGATGGAGGGATATGAAGAATTAGGAGTAGAATGTACCCCCAACTTAAACGACGGAAAAAACCGACTCATGCATGAACCTAAGACATGGTCATGGTGACGTATACTCGAAGTGTGTGCTAAGACTAGTGAGTGTAGGTGACATGTTAAGACTCCTGTCATGACCATGTGGCTAGACTATGTGACTAGACTCAATTAATGACTCGACAAGGTGTTATTGACAACGAAAATTAACCGAATTAATTAGCAAACTGGTTAATTAGACACTGGTGATGACTCAATCAATAATCTGAACTGTCGGCAAAGCGACAAGACTGGCGTCGCACTGTGTAGTGTAGCGCCAGACGACAGAGCTGTCGCAAGGCACCACACTTCCCAGAGTGGCGCTACAGTCCAGACTTTGGCGCCAATGTTGGAGCTTCGATCTGGGACTATTTTCGGTGTTATTAATCAACAAGGGAATGCCTAAAGTCGTACTAAGTCAATTCTGATTAAAATATTAGACTTTATTGACTCAAATTAATTAATTAGTTAGGCAAAGTTCTTTAAGTCATTAATTCATTTAATCTCAACACAA